TTACATAATGTTGCTGGAAATGGAAAACTTTATATTTCTCGTTCTGATAGGAAGGGATTTTTCTTTTTTTTTCTTTTTTTTGTTGAGGGATATCCTTTAGTTGTGTTTGAAATTATTTTCTCCTATTTTTATTTTAAGGGCATATGTTCCCATACATCAATGCATTTAGAATTTTATTTTTACCCAGAAAACTTGAATTTATTACAGATGAAGTACAACTTATAAATCTATATCAGTACGAGTTGTCAATGAGAGAAGATATAAAATTGAAAATTTAGGTGCAGATCTTTTGAACTTTGTTATCCACTATTAACTGTACATATACATACATGTTTGTGTATGTATGCATGTACATATGCATGCATGAACAGCATTATTAGGTGTTGATCTGGTCAAAATTGGGTACCCCACCCCAATCAAAGTGATGGGTAAGGAAAGATTATCAAAGAAGAAGAAAATAAAAGAATAGAAGGGGATTTCCATGTCCAACCCTAACTCATTATCCACTAGTTCATAAGTTGGCCTGTGGCCCACCCAAGACTTGGCCAGCATCCACAATCCACTTAAATCGGAAGAAAAATCCAGACCCATAGTCGAAAGATGAAAAGCCACACTAAAAATAAGAAGTTGATATAACAACAGTAACATTGCATTTACTCACTTCTCATTCAACTTTCAGTTCTAATTCTCGAATCAGTCTAATAAGCATAATTAAAATATAATTTGTTAGGTTTGAATAATCGTTATTTGCACATTGAATTCCTTGATGGTGAAAATTCTGGGTTAAAATTTTCACCATCAAAAGAATCCAAAATCATGATACCTCAAACAAAACAATTTATTTTCTAATTATTCATATTAAGACTAATACAAAACTAAAACTCAAAATGGATTAAAATTAAACGAAAATTAAACTAAAGTGTAAATGCCACTTAGATAGTAATCATAAAAAAAAAAAAAAAAAAATGAAAGATTGCATATGGTGGTGTTGTTAGAGGAAAGAATGCTCGAATGCAACAGCCATTCCATTCCGTGTCCAGAACCTAAAGTTGATGCATTTCCTTACTACTACAAGTAAAACAGGAAAGGGTCAACTACACAACCTACTTTCGTTCTCAAAAAGAATTTCTATTCACAAGTGCATCAAAGACAGTACATTCAAACAACAATATACCTGCTTTTGCCATCCTCCACCAGAGCCCTTTATGCAGCACAACATCACACTGATTTGGTACTTCTACAACATCTTGATCCAGTCAAGAGAGAGAGAGATTTGATACAAACCCCATGTACAAGTTAAGGTATATGTAACATCAGAAGTAAAGCTGCCTACAATGATTAGCATCAATGTCAGAAGGGCAGTATGGGCACTTGAAGGTTTTTGAGCAATTTTTCGACATCTTATTGATAGACTGCTTGCATAGCACATGCCCGCAGGACATCATCATTGGGGGGTTATCATCAGTGGACTGTTCCTTGGACACTGGACAAACAAAGATGGAATGATATTGAAACTCCCTATCTAACTCTACTGGCACTGGCAACTGCTTCATAGTCTGCCATTCCTGCTTCTTCCCCAACATCACATTCATAAACTTTAGAAGAGAAGGTAAACCCTGGATCCCTGCAGCCACTGTCACACTTAACGGACTCTCGTATGATTGGCCCAGGAGATTGCAGAATTGTCTGGTTAGCTCCTTAATTACCACATCCCAGTTGGATGGTGATAACAGTTCAGGGTAAGGGGCCACATCAAGTCTTCCAGCCCATAAGAGACAGGCCATGAGTTTCTGTATTTCAGCCAGATCTGTGGAAGCGAATTCATGAAAGTTGCTTCTGGCGTAATTTAGAGCTATATCCTTGTTTCCTTGCTTTAGTATTTCTACAAACTGCAGCTTATGTAGCTTCAGCTGAATATCAGATCCATTTTGTTTCAGTTTATCAGAGTTGGTAGCAGCCCATTTCAATGCAGGCTCTAGGTTCCGATTCTCCATGGCTTTTACTATCTGATTCATGTCATGGAAAAGGGATCTCATTACAGCAGCAGCAGATTCTGGTTCCCCAGCCTCAATAATGAAGCAGTCACCAATTTCAAAGAGGCCTTGACGGTAAAAATGGCCAGCAATTATCTGGCTGACAGTGTGAGTGTCAAAGTCAATATTCCTGTAGGCTTTAGATATGTCTGAATTGAAGGATTTATCAAGAATTTTTGGGTACTTGTTTATTGCCATGTTCAGTTCCTTCTGTGTGCCTTCTAATTGGCTAAGTGGAGCAATGCCATGCAACCTTTGCTTCATTTCAGAAAGGATAATCTTATGATCAAGATGAGGTTGCGATGATATCATGATTGATGTTTGCTCAATTTCTTGGATAATCAGGTCTATCACTTCCTGTGCTTTAGAAGATGATAGTTTTTGCTTCTTCGCAACTCGATCAAATGCATCCTTGATGCTATTTAGCTCCATTCTCAGTCCTTTACACTTACACCTGAAAAGAATGAGGAGAAAATGAACGTGCTCCAATTTGAGTGCAAAGATTTTTAGTAACATCAAAACATGAACAGGTCCTGAATTCCACAATATGTTTCATTTTTAAACAAGCAATTTAACCCATGCTGCCAAATTGCCAGCAGCAAAAGGGACCATATGGTTCTTGGACTTTCTAGTCACCATAGAGCAAGGCAATAAACTAAAATGCGAAAGAACATGAAAATGAAAGAAAACAAATTGCTTGATCACTGAAATAAAATCAAGATGATGAAATTGTCAGTTCAAGAAAACATAGTCAACCACAGTGGTAAAAGCCTCTGCTTCTCTAGCCTGTCCGGACTATTTGGGTCGATCACCACTACTTGGACAAAAGAAAAAATTCTTCACCAATTTCTTAAATATTGCTTGTCAAAATAAAAGATTCATCTCCAAATCAAAGGATAGGAAGAGAATCCTCAGAAAAGTCATCGATATATCAATCATTTGAACAGAAGCGTTTTTTTTTTTAAGTATCAACTCCAAAGAAAATCACTTGGGCTCCAATACAGAAATTTGCATGGCTAACTCCCTGGGATTCTGGACCAGGAAGTGAAGTTCAGACATTGATTTGTTGATGCTAAGGACTCAAGAATTTGTAATAAGAGACAGAAAAAAAACCACAAAAAGAATACTAATTTCAAAACATAAATTCAAGCAAATTAACATAAATAACTCAAATATAAAAACCACATGTGCACATACAAACAGCATAGAAACCATGAATTACGTTAGACTTGTGGGGAAAACTATGTGAAAAGGTATAAAGAAAGAAAGACTGAAAAGAAGAAATTTGTGATTTAAAGACTTGCACGGAAGTTTTATCCATTAGTTGTTATGAGCTAAAAGTAAGACGCCCTACTGTAAAAGTAATATGCTGTTCATCAGATTTCTTGAGTAGTTCATATGTTCAAGTTACATTTCCTTTTCTGATAGCTACTATGCCATTTAGCTAAAGATAGCTTCAGCAGACTACTGCTTGCGTGAGCTTCCGCGCGTACCAAACTTATGTGATTAACTGTAATGAGAGGGCTTCTAGCTTTTAGTAAATGGAGGCTTCAAGTAAGTTTCACAACATAACAGATAAATAAGCAACTTCAAAAAAGGACAATACCATTGCAAGGGAAACACTTAAATATAAAGAGCAGCTGTTTTAATTTTTGTAAGTCACACATCTGGCATGTAGAACCAAAGCCTAATAGAATTGAAGCATGGGGGAAGAGAAATAAAATATTTGCGAGAGAAAAGAAAGGGAATAGGTGCCTATACTAATCAAGCAAGGGCTTGACCGCTCTTATGAAGACTAAGAATACATAATAGAATAATTATCTTTATCTGCTGCAAATTTCCTTCTTTTGGGTTGGGGGGAGTGGTGGGGTTGGTTGGGGACGATAAAGAAAAAACTTGAGTTAGATAAAGGGAAAAAGAGAGCACATCAATTCAGGATACTGAATCCTCCAATCCTTCAAAAAACAAAAAGAGAAAAAAAAAACAAAAATCAATGCAATATCAAAGCGCCGTCTCTTTGCGGAATAGCCAAAGAGTCTTCTGTAAATTTTATGAATTCTTCCGAAACTCAAGAGTACAATGCTAAAGCTTTTTTTCCAATATATAGGCTGGTCCTAAATAGTGTAGCACCAATGCCAGAAAAGTAACTAAAGAAGAAAAAAAGAAGAAAAAAAAACTAAAACAAGTACTTTCCTAGTCAATAGGGTCCAAAAGAACAATAAAACTATAGAAACAAATATTTAAGTTAAATAGAAAAGTTTTTAAAATAAGCTAATCAGAGAAGATAGCCCAAGTGGTCAGAGGGTGCTCTCCCCTGATGACCATCTTGGTTTGAATCCGCCAGAGGCCCAGATGCATGGGAAACTAATTTCCCGATTTTTCCCAGCATCAAATTCTAGATACCAAAACAAGTCCGTAGATTCAATTAATGCCAGAGAAGTCAAGCTAGTCATTTTCTTTTAATATTAAAAAATGCCCTATTTTTCTGGGAAGAACCTTCTCAGGAGAAACCACGGCTTGTTCAAGAACATCTGAGTTCATTTTGGTTAATTACACGGAAACAGCCAGAGGTTATTTTACTAGAAGTTAAGTGAGTAATTACAATAAAATAAGTTAATCCATAATTACAGGACACCAAATTGGTTTAATTAATGCAACAATTATACAACAAATTCGTTTTCTCTTAGGTGGAGCAAAAGAAGTTTTGTAGTCATCTAAGCCACAGTTTGGACATACAAAAAATGAAACATCCTGAGTTCAACTAAACTAGCTTTCAGTTAATATCCGAATCACATAAATCCACCCGACAGAACAAAATGGTCAAGAAAATCAAACAAGTTTTTTACAAGCACATCACGACCAGGCAATGCATGGATAGACAGCGGACATGGAATAAGAACGACCTATAAGCTCACTGTCGATTAAACAGCACTAAAAACCTTAATCCTTTATTGCACTGAACTTACCCATTATTAACAAAAGAAAAGAGACTAAGCTGGAAAGGATATGCATCAACGCCAAATCAAAGTCCAAACTGAATAAATTGCAATCAGAAGTAAACCAGTGGAGAAGTGCACACAAAGAAATGCTAGGATTAACAGATCAACTCAAAGCTTGGAGAGCATTCAAGAAAGGAAGATCATTGAAAAAGATAACAACGAGCAGCATCGTCATCGTGGAAAAGAGCAATCAGCAAACCAACCTCAATGAATCAGAAAGATGAACCGTAAATACGAAATCTCATTTCAGAATAATTAAAAACAAAGTTTAAAAAATAGATCAAATCAACGACACAGAATTACGGAGAAGAAAAACAAACATAAACACCTAGAAATGAAACATATAAATCCCCTGAAAAAGCGCATATAAACTCAGACACATGAAAAACACTGAGGAAGTGAGAGTGAGAGAGAGAGAGAGAGAGAGAGAGAGTTTCAGTACCAGAAAAAAGAAGAATTGAAAGCCGCGAACCAGTGAAGAACCTTGGTGGGAAGTAAACGCACCTCCAGTGGAGGAAGAAATATAGGAGAGAGAGAGAGAGAGAGAGAGAGAGAGAGATCTTTGATGAAATTTTCGCTTTTTTCTGATTTATCTAGTTCCAGTTTTATCCGGCTTCTTGAGGAGGAGGGGGAGGATGGAATCTACTACGGATGAGTTGGATGTGTCTCATTAACCGTAGCCGTTGGATTAATCGGACATCAGACATCATGTGAAGAACAGAAGAGAAAGGATCTATTGCATAGAAATGTACAATGAATAGCGTCCGTATTTTAATATTCCTATTTTTTTGGCGAACTGTGTTATAATCATTGTTATTATTACATTACAGTGTACCGAATGTCTACGACATTGTGTAGCTTCTCGCGCATTTCATTACTACAAGTCGGGGAAGCGACTTTTTATTCCAAGGTAAATTCATATCCAAAAACCATCAATTATCAGATTACCATTATTATTCAAATATTATATCTTAAACAGTAAATTACAAGTTGTTTAATTTTAATTATTTTCTATAAATATAAACTTAGACTTTGTGAAATACAATAACTTGGTTTGATTTTCATTTTGTGTTTTACTTAAATGTGCAACTGTGTTACAAATGAATATGTAAGCATTCCCACTGCAAAATAATATTTCTTTAAATGAAAAAAAAAAAAATGTTCTTATTCTAGCATAATCATGATTTTCGTACCACCAGTAGGTAGTATAATATATGTATTATATAACTTCGGCTGCACCAAAGAATACATAAAATTTTCCATTCAAAGAGATGACATCGACCAAACACAACCTTTAAAAAAATGACAAAGACAAATAACAAATTTCCAGAAATGCTTTTGTGTGGAGTAATAAATTGGGTTTGGTTCTTTTTTTTTTTTTTTTTTTGGTAGTTTTGCAAGTTGCTTCCTATTCGAGATTCATGGCGCCGATATGCTCATCGATAACCATTCATTGACAGTCGATCTCGCCGACAACACCGTAGTAATTTTCCTCACCATAAAGTTGCCTGAAAGATCAAAAGTCAAAAATCTGAAGCTCAGGACAGAAAACCGTTGCAATGAAGATACAGTTAACTAAATTTAATTTAAGTATCTCCTATTCTTAATTTTATCTTTAATTTTTTTAAAAAAATTATACTCCTAATTTTACTTCTAGAACTTAATTACAATTTACATATTTCATACACATTCAGATTGAATCTATGTTTGTATTAAATTTCATGATGATATATTTGTATTTCACGGGTCAAAGAAGTGCCAAAAAAAACTCCTTTGATGTGGATTTTCCTTAAGGGTAATGTGGTAACTTGCCCTTGTATACTATTCTACTCACACACTTATTAAACTATCCCAATGGACTAATTAAGTACTTAATGTATCCTACGCTATCCTATCCAAACTGCCAACCACAGCCTATATTTGGGAAAAAAGACTTAATTTTTTATAGGAACTAATTGTGACCCTCTTGTATTTCCTCTTGTTACATCTACACTACATGAAAAACCTCTTCATTAGAGGCCTGGTAAATGCTCGCCAGAGAGAAGCAGCTCGTTCTTAAACATAAGTCAAAGTATAGCATGAGTCATAAATGACAAATAGTCAAGGCTAAGAAGAAAAGGAGCTGTGAACTGCAAGTATAGCGTAAAGTAATCAAGGCTCTTGAGACATGCATTCATGGGGAAAAAGGTTTCAAAAAGATTTTAGGCCTCATCCTTTTAGCTACCCTTACGAAACCATCTCTATAAAGAGAGGAACAAAGGACTTTTGAGGCCATAAAAGTTTTTTGATAGAATCAAAGATACTTAGTTTTCAGACCCTAGGTTTTTTTTTTTAAGGTCACCTCCTTTATTCTTTTAAGAATTAGGGCATTTGATTTATATTTTGATAGATTTGTAAAGCTGTATATACAGGTTGCACCAGTTGGTGCATTTTATGTGTATATACCATATAGTTACTTTGACAAAAAGTCACGTAATCAAGGCTAGGCTCAAATAAAAAACAAGGTTGATCTTGGACTGCGACATGAATGACAAATCACTTTCCTCCATACCACCCAATCACAACCTATATTACTCCATATTAGCATCATAAATCTATAATCAAAAGCAGTTTTTTAATCAAACGAAACATCTGTAATGTAATTGATTTTTTTTTAAATAAGTCTGTAATGTAATTGATGTACTATCTAAAATAAACAAATAGTACCCCCTGCATTTGCACTCTTGTAATAAGGCTAGGATTGAATTTCCAGGAGTTCTAATTTGCGAGGTGATGCAAATCAGAGTAATCCAATCAAATGAGATATGGAATACCCCCGTAACAAAGTTTAAGTGTTGAAATGAATAGTGCAACTGTAAAATAAAAGGCAAAAGCAATGCGCTTGAAAAGGTTTCAAATATGTACTACAGAACAAAAAAGTTATCCATGTAGCTAGAGGGCAACTTACGCTAGATCAGCCAAGGTTTCTGACTTGATTACAGCCTTCCCTTCAGAGAGCTCAAGACAAGAATGACGTATTATCATTTCCTTCAAAGTGTGTTTCGTGCTTTTAACATCATTATCCCATAAGATGCTCTGGAATGGAAGTGCAAAATTAGTAAGCCATCTAAAGTCAAGGAATTAGGTTATATGTAGCAAGCTTAATCTGCATATCAGAAATGCTGGGTACAGAAAATGACCAACTAATGAAAGAAAACATGAATTAAACCAATTTTGAACAATAAATTTTTCAGCCAGTAAAAAGGGAAATGAAGTAACAAGTTCTGTTTGTATCAGACTAAGCCACTGAAAAATTTACCTTCCTAATGTACTCTCTTTTCACATCTTCCCAGTGTAATTTGCCCTTTGGGGAGAAAATTGAAGCGTTCCAGAGAGCTCCTCTTGCCACCATCACCGATGAGGCACCTTAAAAGAATAAGTACCTAAATTATTAAAATGAACAATACTAGAGACTTTAAGTTGTAGAGAATCAGTTCAATTTACCTGTTGCATTTCTAAGGCGTTGAATGTCGCCATATTCAAATACATCACCGTTCGCAATAACTGGAATAGATAATGCTGTTACAACATCTGCAATCTCACTCCATTTAGCAGGATCCCTCGGCCTATCTGCAACTTTTCTGCATTCATTTAAAAGGAACAAATGCAAACATCCACAATCATCAAGAAATAAGATATTTTTTAATTAACTTCTACTAAATTGCTTCAATTAGTTCTTTTGATGCCCCCGAGTTGCAAGCAAGATGGTTTTACCACATTGTTTGTAGACATAAAGCAAGGAGCTAGACATTTTTTGTCAGCTTACTTAACAGCGAAAATTCATATATCCTCATCAATTGTTCTCAGTGATACAATGAGCACTCATGTTCCATTTAATATAGGTAAATTATGTAATACCACAGGATGGCATCAAATAATAGAATTTCAAACTAAAGATTTAACTGCCAAAAGTTATCGAGGTTCCAAAAAATGAATTGCAGAAACTCAAAATCACCTTCCATGGACAGCAAGGGCAGAAACACCTGTTTTCTCAATTCGTCTTGCCAGTTCTACTGTATCTACTGATGAATTTAACAATCGAATCTTGCATGTAACTGGTATGTCCAAGTTTCTCTTTAGTGTTGTCAAAATCTAATTAGGAAAAAAAAGGCAGAGCATTGAGTTCAAACTGCAACCATTCAACAAAGAACAAAAAGGGACTTTCAAAATGATATACAGGGCATACATCATGAATGAGCTCTGGTTTAGCCAAAAGTGCAGCGCCCATACCCCCACTAATAGAAAATGACTTCGGGCAACCCATATTGATATCTACTGCAGCTACATCTTTACACCTAGAAAAAGGAATACACTGTTCATAGCATTTAATCATTTTTTCTTTGGGGGGGGGAGGGGAGGGA